GAGATGATCTGTCCATTGATGTAAGTGGGATGTTAAAGTCCTCTACTATTATTTTATTATCCATGAGTGTCTTTAATTTTGTTATTAATTGCTTTACATTTTTGGGTGCTTCCATATTGGGGACATAAATATTTATAATTATTAGATCTTATTGGATAGATTCTTTTATTATAATAGCGTGCCCAGGGCAGCCTGGGTGGCTCAGTGGTTTGGCGCCGCCTTCAGCCCAGGGTGTGATCCTGGAGACCCGGGATCAAGTACCACGTCGAGCATGGAGCCTGCTTCTCCCTCTGCCTGTGTCTCTGCCTCTCTCTCTCTCCTCTCTGTGTATTCTCATGAATAAATAAATTTTTAAAAAATCTTTATATTAGCGTGCCCTTCTTCACCTCTTTTTCCAGTCTTTGGTTTAAAATCTAGTTGTCTGATACAAGTATTGCTCCTCCAGCTTCCTTTTTGATGTCCATTTGCATGATAAATATTTTTCCATCCCGTCACTATCAATCTTCAGGAGTCTCTTGTAGGCAACATATAGTAGGGCCTTTTTTTTTTTTTTAAATCCATTCTGATATCCTGTGTCTTTTGATTGGAGCATTTAGTCCATTTACATTCAGCATAATTATTGATGGGTATGTATTTAGTGCCATTTTATTACTTGATTTTTCATTGTTTCTGGAGATTTTCTCTGTTTCTTTCTTCTCTCTGTCACTTTTTGTCTTTCCTTTCCACTTAAGAGTTCCCTTTAATATTTCTTGCATGGCTCGTGCAGTGGTCATGAGCTCTTTTTGTTTGTCTGGGAAACCCTTTATCTCTCCTATTCTGAGTTATAGCCTTGCTGGATAGAGTATTCTTGGCTACATATTTTTCCCATTCAAGACTTTCTTCTGACTTGCTTAGTTTCTGTGGAGAGATCTGCAGCTAGCTTTATGGGGTCTACCCTTTTTAAGTTAGGGACTTTTTTTTTGGCTTGATGCTTTTAGGATTTTTTTTTATGATTGTATTTTGCAAATTTAACTACAGTACGTCTTGGTGTTGGCCTGCTTTTGCTGAGTTTGATAGGAATCTTTTGTGCTTCCTGGATGTAGATCTTTGTTTCCTTTTCTGGATTAGGGAATTTTTCAGCTATTATTTCCTCAAAAAAAATTTCTGTCCCTTTTTCTCTCCCTCTTTCTTGTGGGACTCCTATAATATGAGTATAATTATATTTGATGGAGTCACTGAGTTCCTTACATCTGTTCTCATTATGCATAATTCTTCTCTTTCTTTTGTTCAACTGCATTATTTTCTGTAGTTCTAGATTCTATATCACTTATTCATTTCTCTGCTTTGTCCATCCTTGTGTTCTTTGCATCCAGTCTGTTTCAAATCTCTGTTATTGTATTTTTCATTTCTGATTGTTTTTTAACTGTTTTATCTCTGTGGTAAGGGCCTCCCTGAAGTCCTCCATTTTTTTTCTCAAGCCCAGCAAGTATCCTATGATTGTTACTTTAAATTCTCCATCAGGCATGTTACTTATATCTATTTTGATTAGATCTCTGGATACAACTTTTTGTTGGTTCATTTGGGATGGATTTTTCCACCATGGCATTTTGTCTAACTCTGTCTTCTTCTGTGAGTTAAAAAGGCCTGTTTTGTTTCCTGCTCCTGAGACTAATGGCTTTATGAAGAAGGGGTCATGTAGTGTTCAGAGCCTGGTGTTTCAGGGAGTATTTCTGGTGTGTGCTGCATGGATTTTGGTGCTGTTGTTGACTTCTCTATCCCTCAGTCCAGTCGTATGCAGGGGCTCTCCTTGCCTGCAGTGGGCAGTGTTTGGACCTTGGCCAGAATGTGGCGAGTTTTAACTAGGTGTGCTCTGGTCTGCTCACTAAATGAGACCTGATGCTACTGAAGTCTTGCAGAACTTTCTGGTTGGGAGATGTCCTTTGTGCAGGGGTTTCTGCTGGTCATCTGGGGAAGGGACCCACTGTGCTGGGACTGTGGTTCACTTGCCCAGAATAGCAGTGCCTTGAGTGCAGGGTGGTGGGACTTGGTATAAGCAGGTTAGACGCTAATGTAGGTACTGTGGCATTTACTGCAGATGATTTATGCTGCAGGGTAGGGAGAGAGAAATGGCACCAGCCTACTCCTTTGTCCCCAGAGAGGGGCCTTTGTACTGGCTGCTCTTAGGGAAGGACTCCCAGAAGAGCAATTGAATAATTTTCCTTTGCGTACCCCATGTGTTTTTTGAATTGCCATTTTCATGCTGTCTGTCTCTTGGTTGTTGCCTGCCTAGAGCAGCACAGTGCACTTTGGGCTCTATCCCAGCCAGCCCTGCTGACTTTTAAAACTATAGTCTTTAGAGATGTGGTATGGGTGGGGACCAGCGTTGGTCTTCTGGTGGAGTGTCTCACTGCTCTGGGACTGATGCAAGTTTGATTGCAGAGGTCACTTGAGCCAGAACACAGGGTTGTGGGACTTGGAGCAAGCAGGCTAGGCAACCAGTGTCGGGCTAAGCTTCCCTTAGCAGGTGGCTCTGCTCCTATGCTGAGGGGCTGGGGAGTGGCTCTTTTTTCCCTGGAGAGGTGTCTCTGCAAACACCACCTGTCACAGATATGCTCTAAGGAGAGTGAACAATCTCCCTGCTGTGTGCCTTAGGCATGCCTCAAATGCCATCTGTCCCTAGGGTTGTTTGCCTGCTTTTTTCCAGGAGTAGGGCCGTGCCCTACGGGGTCTGTCCCAGCCAAGCCCAACTGACCTTTAAAATTCCAGTCTTCAAATCCTACTTGTTGCAAAAAGTCATGAAAATCAGCCCTTCTCATTTTCCCAGCCAGTAGCTTTGGGGAGTTGTTTTCCTTGTGCCTCTCTCAGCCACTAGGGCTCCCTCCCCTCTGCAGCACCCATGATCCATTTCTTAAACCATGTCTCCATACTTTCTACCTTCATGGATGTGGCTTCTTATCTTCCTTTATTTGTGGAGTTTGTTCTGTCAGTCCTGAGGTTGATTTGTTGGGTAGTCAGAATGTTTTAATAGTTATCTAGCTGTGATCAAGGGATGAGAGGAGCCTAGGATCCTCCTACTATGCTGCCATGCTAGCTCCCTCCCCACAAAATTAATTTTAAAAAGTTCAAGTATAGGGTTCTTGGATGGCTCAGTTGATTAAGTGTCTGACTCTTCACTTTGGCTCAGGTCATGATCTCAGGGTTGTGAGATAGAGCCCTACATCGGGCTTCATGCTGGATGTGAAGCCTGCTTAAGATACTCTCTCTCCCTCTCCCTTTTCCCCCCGCCCCTGCCAAAAAAGAAAGAAGAATTAAAAATAATTATTTAATAGTGATTAATATTAGTTTCAGGTGTGTAATATAATGATCCAACAATTCTTACATTACTCAGTGCTTATCACAAATTTATTTTTATTTTTATTAGATTCTTTTTTTATTCATGAGAGACAGAGACAGAGGCAGAGACATAGGCAGAGGGAGAAGCAGGCTCCTTGCAGGGAGCCCAAAGTGGGACTCAATCCCCGGACCCTGTGATCATGCCCTGAGCCAGAGGCAGATGCTCAACCACTGAGCCACCAAAGCATCTCATAATAAGTTTGTTTTTAATTCCCTTTACCTATTTCACTCATTTTCCCACCCACCTTCCCTTTGGCAACCACCAGTTTGTTCTCTGTATTTAAGTGTTTGGTTTTTTCTTACCAAAAGAGTTGTTACACCTTCTTGATCCATTCGTGTTATTACAAATGGCAAGATTTCATTCTTTTTTATTCCATTTACTTATATATGAAATCTTTATCCATTCATGTATTGGTGGACACTTGGGTTACTTCCATATCTTGGCTATTGTAAATAATGCTGCAATAAATACATCTTTTAGTGTTTTTGTATTCTTGGAGTAACTACCCAGTAGTGGAATTACTGGATAATGTGGTAATTCTATTTTTAATATTTTGAGGAATTTCTATACTGTTTTCCACAGTGGCTGCACTGGCTTGCATTGCTACCAACAATGGATGAGGGTTCCTTTTTCTCCACATTCTCATCAACATTTGTTATTTCTTGTCTTTCTGAGTTTAGCCATTCTGACAGGTGTGAAATGATACCTCATTGTGCTTTTGATTTGCATTTTGCTTATAATAAGTGATGTTGAGCATCTTTTCATGCATTTGTTGACCATCTCTATGTCTTTGGAGAAATGTCTGTTCATGTCTTCTGCCCATTTTTAATTGCATTATTTGGGTTTTTGTTTTTGGTGTTGAGTTGTATAAGTTCTTTATATATTTTAGATACTAACTCCCTCTTAGATATATCATTTGGCAGTATCTTTTCCCATTCTGTAGATTACCTTTTTGTTTTGTTGATGGTTTCCTTCGCTGTGCAAAGTCTTTAATTTTGATATAGTCCCAATAGTTTAATTTTGCTTTTGTTTCCCTTGCCAAAGGAGACATATCGAGAAAAGTTTCTGTGGCTGATACCGAAGAGATTACTGCCTGTGTTTTCTTCAAGAAATTTTATGGCTTCAGATTTCACATATAAGTCTTTAATCCATTTTGAGTTTATTTTTCTGTAAGATAGTGGTCCAGTTTCATTCTTTTGTATGTTGGTGTCCAATTTTCCCAACATCATTTGTTGAAGATTCTTCTTCTCATTTTATAGTCTTGCCTCTTTTGTTGTAGATTCATTGACCATGTAATTGTGGGTTTATTTCTGGGCTCTCTATTCTGCTGTATTGATCTGTGTGTCTATTTTTGTCCAGTACCATACAGTTTTGATTACTACAGCTTTGTAGTATACTTGAAATCTGAGATTGTGATACTCTAGTTTTATTATTCTTTTTCAGGATTGATATTTGGTATACCTTTGACATTCGATCACATCAATTTGTATCACTATTTATTATCATTTGAGTGATAGGATAATTCAATTGTATTGCATTTAATTTAGCTCCAAAGTAATTTTACTTTGTTATAAGTAATGTGCTAAAGTGTTTAAAAATATTTTTCCCACTATTTAATTCATTGTAGGTATGAATGAAAGTTCGTTTTTATCAAAACGTCCTTCTACTTCTGAAGTAAACAGTGTTAATCCAAAAAAGCCGAAGCCCAGTGATGGATTAAATTCTTCAGCTGTTTTTCCTTCAGTTAAATCTCTTTCAGTGACATCTCCTCAGGCCATGTCATCAAAAGGTAAATGTGAAAGGTGGCATATAAAAAAAAGAAATTATAGGGGCACCTAGATGTCTCAGTCACTTAAGCATCCAACTCTTAATTTCGGCTCAGGTGGTGATCTGAGGGCTGTGAAATTGAGCCACATCCAGCTCTGTGCTGGGCATGGAGTCTTCTTAATATTCTATCTCTCTCCCTTTGCACCCCTCTCTGAAATAAAAGAAATTATAGTATTTATACATAAGTTTTAGAAGTTGTAGTAAATTTACAAACTGTTAGCAGTGATTATTTAAAGTTATAAAGTGATAGATTTTGAATTATATGTTTTGAATTTATTTTAGGTACAAATACCTCATCAAATCAATCTAAAAATGGAACACCTTTTCCAAGAGCTTGTCCAAAATGCAATATACATTTTAATCTTTTGGATCCTTTGAAAAATCACATGAAGGTAAAATTTTTTTCAAAATTTAATTTTAAAGAGATTTGCAAATCCCCCCAAATATTGATTTATAGTAAATAATGCTTTGTGCAGATATTTAGGCTAAAAAACTTTTCATGGTGGTATTTCCACATAACTTAGGCAAAGGTTTATATTCATAATGATTATTTTCATATAAGATTTAAAAATTTCCTCTGAATCATCAAGTTTTTAGAATTAAGTTTATATAGATTATATGTTTATTGTATTCTAATTTTAAATGAAAATAAGGTATTAATCAGAATACTTTAGTAGATTCGATATGCTTCAAACTTTTTTTTTTAAAGGCATTTTTATATTTTCTTCAGCTACCTTATTTTTATGTCCATGGTAATGTATGCATATCACATTACACAATGAGAATCTGAATTTTACATTTAATTTTCAACACTCAGACTTAAGCCCCAAATGATGGAGCATTTCGTATGTAATAATTATCTTAACTCTGTTCAGATACAGTTTGAGTAATTGTCATAAATTATTCCAGGTTTTTTGTTGGAATATAAAGCTCTTGAAATTAGATTTTAAGAAATTTTCAGGTGCCTCTGGGTGGCTCAGTCTTTTAAACATCTGAATCTTGATTTCCGGCTCTGGTCATGATCTCAGGATGATGAGACCGAGACTGGTGTCGAGCCCAGGGTTGGGTTCCACATCCAATGTGGAGCTTGCTTAAGAGTCTCTTCCTCTTCTACCCCTCCTCCCTCTCCCTCTCTCTAAAAAAAAAAAAAAAAGAAAAAAAGAAATTTTCAAAGTACAAATGAAATATGAGGTATAGGTAACATTTCACTTGAAATATTTTAGTATATATTACAGTATCCTACTGTGATCTAAGGAAAGATAACCTGTATTCTCTTTGCATGCCCAGTATGGATGGCAGGAAGGGGGAAAGAGAAAGAAAAAAGTCCACATAGGCTGTATGAAGAAAGAAAGGAAGGAGGGGTGCCTTTGTGGCTCAGAACCCAGTCTGCTTGGGACTCTCTTTTCCTCTTCCTCTGCCCCCCTCTCCACACTCACTTTCTGTCTCTCTCCCTTCTCTTTAAAATAAATAAATCTTAAAAAAAAAATACATTCCACAGAAAAAGTAGAAAAGAATAAAGGAACTCTCTTAGAATTTCAAATACAATATCTTTATTCACATACAAAGCTGTATTTGGTGTGTCACTACTTCCAGCTCCCAGAATGCAGTCCCTGATAATTGCACTTTGTGCTTTCTTCTTGTATGAAAATTAACCTGTACAGGGCTTTCACTTTTTTAATCTGTGTGATGTTTTGATGAGATACCTGATTATTTTTATGGTTTGCCTTTTGGATGGAGAGAAAAAAGAAAGGGCTAAATTCTCTAATTTTTAATTATTTGAATAGGTAATACAGCGATATTCAAAATAAAAAAGTTAACAAAGGCATACAAATGAAAAATCATAATTGTGTCTCTTATTTGCCTGGTTTCCAGAATGACTGTCAAAGAAAATGATTTTTATTAGTTGTTTTTTTATTTTCCCCACTATTCTTTCTGCGTTTACAGGTAAAAGGGTATGTTCTTATTTCTTTTCTGTTTTGTATACAGTTTATAGTAAGTTAAATCTCTAAGACATATTTTTGAAGTAAATATAATATGAATAATCTACGTGTGCTTATATCATAAAGAGTTGTGACAGAATAGTCACCAGCTCTAGAACAAGTTTAAAGCTGTGTTTTGAACTGCATTCTAGGGACGCCTGGGTGGCTCAGTGGTTGAGAGTCTGCCTCCGGCTCTTGGTGTGATCCCGGGGTCCGGGATTGAGTATCATATCGGGCTCCCTGTGTGGAGCCTGCTTCTCCTCCCTGTGTCCCTGCCTCACTCTCTCTCTCTGTCTCTCTCTCTGTGTCTTTCATGAATAAATAAATGAAATCTTTTAAAAAACTGCATTCTAGTTTATGCATTTTGTATATCAGTTGAAGTTTTAGTATGACAACAGTGATATCCATTTTGGAAAAATCTGATTTTTTGATTCTTAAGAAATGAATTTTTGCTGTTATTATAGATAGATGACTATACCACAGAATTAATATTTTCTTTCAGTACAGAATATCTAAAACATAAAGCAAATATCCTATAATAATAATAACAATTTATTTATCTGAGACTATGTGTCAGACTACTAAGCTTTAAATACATTATTTCATTTAATCTTTAGAAAGTTCTTTGAGACCGACATATTTTTCATTGTTTTATAGCCAGTTTATTTAAAGACATAACTGGCATTCAAACTTCTAATGGTAAAAACCCAAGTTCTAACAAATTTTTCCTTTTTTAGTGTATAGGTTATATAATTTACATGGAAACTTGAAAATAGGTAAATAATTTCTTAAGATATGGAATTTGGTATTTATCAACCAGATCTAGCATATTAATTGCATTGTTTAGATATCTATATTTTTATTTATTTTGTTGTCTATTTAATCTTACATTGTTTGAGAAATACCACCTCCCAATCTGGTTCTTATTAATAATTTATTGCAGTTCTGTCTTAAGATTGTTGCTGTTTGCGATATAGAAGAATCTCTTATAGTTGTATTGTGTATAGTTGCAAATGTGTCCTTTAGCATTTTTATAAATGTTCTTTTTGTCTTAATGTTAATGACTTTTAGGCTTACAACCCTTGTTTTCTTATGGTTTCCATTTGCCTAATATATTACTGGTGTATCCTTTTCTTTTCAACCCTTTTGAATCACATCATGCCCCTTGGTTTGAGCAGAGTTGATTTTTCCTTTGTGAGTCTATATGAAAATCTCTTTTGGCAGTTGGGTTAAACTTATTTATATTTGTTGACATGATGATAGGTTTATTTGGTCTTGGTTCTGTCACAATTTTTTATCTTTTTTTTTTTTAAGTCTCACTATTTGGTTGCTTTGTATGTCTGTAGCTTGGGTTTTTAGAGAAGCTGTATTTTTATTCTCCTGTTTATCCTTCTAATTTTAATGCTAATATAATTCTAGTAGTCTTGTATTCCTTTGGCCGTTCTCTAATATTAAAATTGGTTAAAGTAGCATTAAATTTTCTATTCTTAACCCACCCATTCTTACCTTCTCTTTTCCTACCTGATTTTAATCAATATTATCTTTCTGTGTGTTTACTTTTGTGCTTTTAAAACTGCGTATACCTATACTACTTCATTTGGTAGCTCTAAATGATATTCTTTGATGTACTGCTAGTATATGTGAATCAGTTTGTGAACTTTCTCAACCTTATGTTTATTATCTTTTTATGCCCTTCTAGTTTTTATTTGTTGGTTGTATTATTTTTTCATTGTTAGGTCATAAAACATTTGCATTTGATTTACTTGACATTATTTCTGTATTTGTTTTAATCCTTTTTCACAGTAAATATATTCAGTGTTGATTACCAGTGTGTTTCTCATGGCTTCTTTAGTTATGTCTTACTTGGCTGAAGTTCATTTTCTAGTAATTTCCTCAAGAAGGGCCTTGAAACAGCATTTTTTGAGTTATTTTCATGTTCAAAACAATTGGACTATATTCCATTCTTAAAAGACGGTTTTGCCAGGTATAAAGTAATTGGATCCTACTTTGAGGATCTTATTTGTGATGCTTCTGACTTACAGTATTGAATATTGCTTTGAGAAATCTAGGATAAGCCTAAATTATTTTGCCTTTTATAAATGATTTGATCTTTCTGTCTGGCTGTCCATAGGATTCTTTATTTTGGAAGACTGATAATTTTATAATGATCTGACTTGGTGTTGGGGATTTGGTCAATCTTCTCTGATATGTAACATGTTCTTTCTGCTTGTATGATTGTGTTTTCCTTTATTTTAGTGGAGTTTTCTTGATTCATATTTTAAAGTATTAATCCACACAATTGTTTTGTCTTTTGAGGAGAGGGGAGAATGTTATCCAGTATGCATTCATTTGATGTCCTTTGTGTGACACATCTATCATTTTCTTTCTAATTCTTTTAACACTTAAGTTTTTTAAATTTCCCTTTCTCATTATCATCCTCTCCTTCACTTTATTTTCTAATGCCTGTTCACTACTGTTCTCCTTTCTTTTTTCTTTTCTTTTTTGCTGTTATCCTTTCTAATTTGTCTTTATCTCTCTGATTTCTCTACTTTTCCCTCAATTTTGCCATTCCTTTTTTGTCTTGTCATCTCTTCTTACTTTGTGATTTTCCAAATAGACACAATTACTTCATTAAGTTTTTAAAATTTCTAGCAAATATTTCGGTCACTGTTTTCATCTACAACTGCTTCATGGTGTTTTTGTCAGAATTTTACATTTTCCTCCTTTTATCCTAAAGTATTTTTGTTTAGATGTAAGTTTTAATCATAGTAAAGAATAAGTTGGATTTTCTTGGGCTAGCTCTTTTGTACAAGCCTCCTTTTAGGAAGTGTAGGTTGCCAGGATAATCTCACATCCTGCTAACTAGCTTATATAACTCTTTGCTGGGCAGGTGGCTTCCTGCAAATGTGACTTTTGTGTCTGATTTTATATGTAGCATTGCCTTATCTGCTTCTCTGTACCAAATGAAGTATGGGGACTTCTGCCATCCTTCTGCACGTTTTTGTAAACAAAGTACATAGCTTTGCAGTTTAGGATGTGTCTTTCACCTTTAGAATGCAAATTTTTGCTGACACTTTCTAAGATGTTACTGTTGGGTCCTTTTGACTTCTCTGATCTACTTCCAGCTACATGTCTTCTCTCTGATCTTGGCTGCTTTGGGTAGTGCTCATATGTTGTAGAGTCTGTGGATTTTATCTGGCTCTTAGTTTCAATGAAAATAAAATTTTTAGAATTTGGTTGTTGTGGCTTTGGAAGAGTCCCAGGAAAAGAGGAAAATGTTGACTTATGTAGGATGATAATATGGGAACTTCTATTTTACTACTTAAAAATAGCATCCCACCTTCTTTGTTCTAAAAAAATCTAACCTAAATTTTTAGGTGCTAATAAAGCAGTAGGACATGGTTTCTCTACTGGGAGGAGTGAATATGAAAATGGGGTTTAGCTGGTAATTGCTATTTGTCTAATTATAGTATATAGCATTATTTAATATTTGCAAAATGGTTATCTCAGGAAAATAAGGGATAACCCAGGGCTACAGTGAAAAGCTAGAACCAAAAGAGTTTTAGGATTAAATAAAAGATGACCAGTAGGTTTTGAACCGTAGCTCAATGTGCCATCCATAGCTTTCTCTATCCTTCTACAAAACCTTCAGTCTAAACCTAGTTGTCGTTTCTTAAGTTGCTTTCTTGCCTTTTGGCTATTTTCTTTGAGATTCTGCGTTTCTCTCAACTACTAAGTTTCCTGAATTAGGTTGTCCTTCTTGGTTTTCAGTGGTTTATCATTCATCTGTCTTATAGGGATTTGAAACATTGCTTAAAAGATACTGTGAATAATAGCATTGTGTGTCAACTATACTAAAAAAAAAAAAAAAAAAAAAAAAAGAAAAGAAAAAAAAAGAGGGATGCCCCGTCCGTGGCTCAGCAGTTGAGTGTCTGCCTTTAGCCCAGGGCATGATCCCGGAGTCCCAGGATCGAGTCCCACATTGGGCTCCCTGCAGGGAGCCTGCTTCTCCCTCTGCCTATGTCTCTGCCTCTCTCTCTATGTCTCTCATGAATAAATAAATAAAAATCTTAAAAAAAAAAGAAAAGGATACTTTGAGATTTGTATATTTATTTTTAAAACCTGTTCCTATCTTTTTTATTTTAAAAAAAGAAAATGAAAAAACAGCAAGAAGTTGATCATCTGTTATGTGTATTATAATTTATGAGCATTTAAGGTAACTTTAACTTTTATAGATGTACCAAATTAGATGTTTCTGAAAAATATAGCCTTGCAGCACACTCTGCTATGGACTGCTTAGATTATTTTGTAGATTTCAGAAAAGAATCCAAGTCTCAAATATGACTCAATAACTTCTACAGTTTGAAAACCAGATTTAATATTTGAATATATGTGATTGTTCACATTTCTAATAGGGACACTTACATCATTTTTGTGCATTATAATTTTTCTCATTGCTGTTTGAGATAACTTCTATGGTAAAATTGCAGATAAGGTCAGGGATTTTGTCTATCAAAATGATACTACTGATATACATCATTTGTAGTAAGACATGTATTTTGAGTTATTTTTCTGATAGTGTTGATGGATTTACTCTGAACCATACTTTTCTCCACTTATCCTTAGAGTCAAAACCAGTATGTTTTAAAAGGAACTTAGCCTTATAATAGTCCTTAGAAATAGTTGACTTTCCTAAGGTTGAGCTTTTAAATATTACATGTGTCCTAAGAAATATCTAGAAACATATAGAGCAAAACCTTTCTCATTTCCCTCTTTTTGTTATAATTTCATTTCAACTTTATTCTGCATGGTTGACCTCAGAGGATAATGTAGTCTAGGGATCTAATGTATTTAACCTAATTTAGCTTATTGATGCAACCTTAACTCCTAAACACAAATTATGTCACCATTTGTGGGCCCATTTTAATTAGTATTTTTTACCATTTTAATTAGTATTTTTTCCCCTTTCTTTTAGATCTAGTTTAGATTTTTACCTTGGTGTTATTTCCTTAAAGATTTCCAAATTGACAAGTGAACAAACTAAAAGCGCTGAAATGTTAAAGGTCTGTCTTGGATCAAAGACCTAGCTTCCCATGTGATGCAGAACATTTTACCAATGATCAAATATTTCATTGTGGCAAGAGAGGACATGGATATATCTGAGAAATGGAAGAGAGTTCTGTTAGAGTTTCAAACTATTTAATGGTGTTACTTATTTACTAAGTAACATATTTAGGAAGAGTTTAAGCCAGTTGGTATATGTTGTAAAAGAATTACCTGGGTGTCTTGTTGAAAAAGATTTCTGGGTGCTGTATTGAGATACATTGTAGTTATGGGTATGAAGTGGGCCCAGGAATTAGCATTTTGACAAGTATTTCTGGTTTTTCTAGTGCAGGTCTTCTTTGGACTGGCCTTTGAGAAGAAAAACTACCTTAGAGAAATTCTTCAGCTGAAAATTATGTACCATAAATGAATTAGTTATATCTTACTGAAAAAAAAGAGCTCATGTATGAAAGTATTCCACTTTAGAACCAGTTTATGTGACATCTTGACTTTATTCATGAGGAACTAAATTTCCCCTTTAAATATTTAAGCATTCTAGATTTCAAGGTGTAAGTGTAGAATTTTTCAAGATGTTACTAATGCCTCTCCCCCCCCCCACACACACACACATGTTTTCTACACCTTGTGTCTGGGCAATGGCAAGTTGTGCTCAATTTTTAGTTCTAACTAGATATTATGAAATTTCGTATTTCACCTGATAATTAAACATATACATTATGACATGTAAAACTACATTTCCTTTCTGTGCTCTATCCTGACATAGATGTGAAATGAATAAATTTTAGTTCAGTTAAACATTTAAGTTATTATTCAGTAATTATGTCTGAAAAGATAAATTGCAAGGAAAAACTGTTAGATCAATAGCCAAGTCCTAGTTCTAAGATTATTCTTTTAAAAATTTTTGTGGTGGGATCCCTGGGTGGCGCAGCGGTTTAGCGCCTGCCTTTGGCCCAGGGCGTGATCCTGGAGACCCGGGATCGAATCCCACATCCGGCTCCTGGTGCACGGAGCCTGCTTCTCCCTCTGCCTATGTCTCCGCCTCTCTCTCTCTCTCTCTCAATGTGTGACTATCATAAATAAATAAATAATTTAAAAAAAATAAAATAAAAAATTTTTGTGGTGTTCTTAAGATGATAGGTGTTTATTGTTATTTAGAGTGTGAGTGTGTACCACAAACTTTTGGATTAATATTTTTCCAGACATACTACCAAGCATAGTTTTACATGGTCTGACTTTAGCTGTAAACATAGAATTATTTTGTTGGTATCTAATTTTTTAAGCGATAAATAAGACTTTTGTTTTTTCTCTTTCAGTACTGTTGTCCAGACATGATAAATAACTTTTTAGGACTGGCTAAAACAGAATTTTCAAGTACAGTAAATAAAAATAAGACTGTTGACTCAGAGAAAGGAAAATTGATTATGTTAGTTAATGACTTTTATTATGGAAAACATGAAGGAGATGTCCAGGAAGAACAGAAGACTCACACAACTTTTAAATGCTTCAGTTGCTTGAAAATTCTTAAAAATAATATTAGGTATGTAAATACTTATTTTTATTTCTGTTTGAAAATTGGATAAATGTTGTATCTTTATTTTGTATTTTTTCTTTGCCATTTGGGATAAACAATTTTAATACTTTCTACGAAGGACAAAGGCAGACTGTCCTGTTGAAAAACTTTGTTCTTTCTTGTAATTAAGAGTTGATTCTTGAATATAATTAGTTTTATTTCTCTAAGATAACTTAAGAAAGGACAAACTTTATTTCAAATAAGGCAAAATTAACTAATTCTCCTACATTATCACATTTAAGAATTTTCATGAGATCATTTTCATTTTTAGCTGCATTTGAATTTTTTCTTCATTTCATAAGAGGAACCACTTTAGTAAGTACAGTTTGACCTCCTCCATACTAATCTTATTTAATGCTCAGGTCTTTTAATTCGGATTTATAAATTTTAGAACATTTACCTTGCAGGAAAAGTGATACTCTTTAGAGAAGTACCAGTTCTAGGAAACATTTCTGCTTTGATTTTAAAATTTAACCCCTTTAAAAATTAGAAATTTAATTTCCGGTGGAATTTTGAATTTTATACATCTGTGTTTTAAATTTCAGGAACTTTGTTATCTTTGAGTTACATATTAGTAGGTGTCATCCTATAAATGAGTATGTAACAAGAACAGAGTAACAAGACATATTGATTGATATTTTTATTGGTTATGTAGGTTGGTATTTATATTAGTTAAGATTGTTTTTACCCCCATTTTATTATAAAAATGTTCAGACATTGAGCAAAGTTTTAAAAATTCTACATGCTTGTCACCTTGATTCTACCACTAACATTTTACTATGCTTGCTTCATCATATAATCTGTTTATTTTTCCTTCAAACTATTTTTGTTCTTATGCATTTCAAAGTAAGTTGCAGACATCAGTATACTTTCTTTAGATGAGGGTGTTGTGTGTGTGTTTGTACAAACATATATATATATATGCCTTTTTATATTTACCCTTGATAACTTTGTAAATAGCATTCTTAGGCACCTGTAGGTTACTTCTGGACCCAGTATATAGCCCATTTTCCTGTGAGTTCTTGGGTCCAAAAAGAAGAATATAGGAAAACCCTGAAATACATTGTGATATACTTCTATAACAATTATTAAAGCTTTGTTTATTGTGGTGCTTTATAGTTTCCGAATTCTTTCACATATGTTATTTCATGTGAGTCTTCACATTTCTTTATCTCCTTTAATTAAACTTTAACAGGCATCAGTAGTTAATAGTTTGTTAGTAGGAATATTGTACTTTGTGGTATAAAACTGAAACAATATTACAGTAGAACTCTGTCATCTATTTCCATATTATTGCCATTTTAATAGCAAAATATACCAGAAAAATCACGTTAGTAAACAGGATGAAAGCATAGAAATATGTTTCACTGACTTATTAGTTCCTTGATATACTTAAATATTATGTGTATATTAGAAATTATTCAACAATAGCTTTTGGCTTTTCCTTTGAGATTAGCCCACTTAATATTAAACACATAAAAATTAAAAATTCATTTTTTTGTTATTGTTTCAGAAAACTACTTAACATATTTTTAGAATACTTGACTATTTCAAACTTTAAAACAAACAACATTTATAACAGCCAGGAATTGAGCACTTTTTGAAATACTGATTGTTTAGGAAACGTAACCTTAATGGTAAACACTTTGTAGTCAAAGAAGTTATGTATGTTATATATGTAAAATAATATTTTATCTTAACAGTAAAAACTGGGGAGACAAATTGATGTTTGTAGAGAATGGTAGGAAAACTGATAGCTATAGATTTTTACTTTTTGCCTTGTCAACATATTGTGATATTTTTTTTTCTACAGTGTCACCAAAAACAGGTTTATTTTATTCTGCAAACATCCTTGTAAGAAGTTTGCTTTTATGTATCCCTCATTTCCATCCATTAGTTTAAGTAGCTTGACTTCCCAATAGGGGCTCATATAATAATTTTGAGAAAGCTTGCTAGTTAGGAGACTATTTTATATAGATACACTTTAATTGCTTAAAGTTGTGAGCTAAAAGTTTAATGGCTCATGACCTTTTCTTTTCCTAGCCAAGACTAGGATTTTCTCTAGGTGTTTGTAGAGCTGGTATTAAAACCAAGGGAGGACAAAAAGATATTTCATAGTGTGCCATAACCTGTTCAAGGGAAGTACTGTTTTGGAGATGTGAAAAAGAGATAAATGTTATGGCCTTCATGGTGACTGCTATCCAAATTAATGACATTATCACTTATTTTCAAGATTCTTGCCTTTACAGGCTCAAAGTGAATAATTGTTAATAGTTGACCCAGACTAAAAATTGTTACAACTTTACTTTCAAATTCAGCAAAAAGCTTCAGTAAGCTCTTTTAAATAGGTATTCCCATTTATATTGCACCCTTTGCTGTTGAAGGTCATAGTTCCTGCTCATAAGAAGCCTTTTAGGGAAGCTGAAATTGCAGAATGTAAAACTGAAAAATGGACGTTGCCTACAAAGGGCACAGTCTGCAAGTTAAAATGAACAGTCTGTGCTAACAGTAAACCAGTATCATTAAATAAAACAAAAGGTTCTTGTAATTGTAGGCATTAAAATTGCTATTACATGCATTTAGAAACCAAGACACAAGTAAAAATACCAGTAATTTGTCTTTTAAACAGCTGGAATCTATTGTATATCTTCACAGCCTTAAAAGATTTCTCTCTTGACTGTAGTTGCTTTTGGTAGTAGGGTTTCCTTCCTTTCAACTATTTTATTTAAAAATGTAAACAGTATTCATGTATGGAAAAAAGTCTGCTTTTTAAAAATCTTTAAAAAAACATTTTAATAATCTGAAATGATTAAGAATTTGAGCAAATTAGTGATATTTCAGATTAATTACAGTGATGAATTCTTTTAAAACAAAGATGAAAAGCAAAGATGTTTAGCCACTTAATGAAGGCAATTATTTAAAACACACAGTTTTCTAGAGGACTTTAAGGCTTTTGAGATTTTATTTTGAATAATATATACTTTTAGATTCAGATACTTATTTGTTAGATTTTTGTTTTTAAATCTGAATTTTTGCACCTGTTGACAATCATTTATAGGTTTATGAACCACATGAAACACCATTTGGAACTTGAGAAGCAGAGCAGTGAGAGCTGGGAAAACCACACCACCTGCCAGCACTGCTACCGTCAGTTTCCCACACCATTTCAACTGCAGTGTCACATTGAGAGCACACATACACCCCATGAATTTTCCAGTAAGTTACAATTCTGCTTAGGTACTGGATATTATCAACGTTGACAACGTAAACTCTAAGAAAACCTAAAGAAGCTTGTTAGAAAAATAAGACAGAAAAAGACTTTGGAATTTGGGGGCAGAATTGGAAAAGTTTTAAGTTATCTAAATTGTTAAAACTGGTGAAAGTTCCTCTAATAAGTAATTCATTAAAGTAAATAACCTGTGCATTATATGTGGGGAACTAAATTAACAACCTCAAGATCATAGCTTTCAAATATGAAATTAATGCCCTTCATTTAAACTTGAATAAGAAAAGTATGATTCTAGTTAAAAATCACAGATTTTAGAGCTTGATAGCTTGAATTCAAATCCCAGGTCTCCCTCTTTATACAGCTATGTGACCTCAGGCAAGTTACTTAATATTTGAATAATAAGGATAATAGAAATACCTACTTCATAATGCTGTTATGGGAATTAAATGAGCTAATGTAAGTAAAATACTTAGAACTGTGTTTGGCACACAGTTAAAAACTGTATAACTATTGTCAGTCCCCACCAATACTATAGTTATTATTGTTGATACAGATATATAAAATGAATTTTACACATGTATATCTGTTTTTGTTTGCCTTACCTTGTTTTTAATTGAAGTGTAAGTGACATATAGATTCAGGTATAAACATAATGATTTGATATGTGTGTATGTATGTGTGTGAATCTTAAAATGGTATAATGTCTTTTTTCCCTCCTCACTTTTAGCCATTTGCAAAATATGTGAATTATCATTTGAAACAGAGCATATTCTTTTGCAACATATGAAGGACAACCATAAGCCTGGTGAAATGCCATATATTTGCCAGGTATACATATATTTTATTGTGTACTTAGTGTTTGGTTTGTTTTCTGTTGTTTTGATTATAAGATTTAAACCTACTGGGCCAGGTGTCAGGAAATCTTTTCTGTAAAGCACAGATAGTAATAAATATTCAGTCTTTGAGGGTCATACAGTCTGTGTTGCAAATAATCAACTTTGCCATTATAGCACAAATGCAGCCATAGACAGTAAGTAGATGAATGTGATCAGGCTGTGTTAATTTACTTAAAATTTATCTATGGACACTGGAATCTGAATTTCACATAATTTTAATGAGCCACAAAATATATTTTTTTATTTTCCTAACTCTTTAGATAAAATTGGTTACTAAAATTAAAATTCATTCTTCTTGTAACCTATTAATAAAAATAATTGGCTTAACTCATGTGTTATATGTGCAGTCAACAGAGTCAACAATTGGCCCATAGGCCATTTTAAACCAACTCCCAATTGATCAAAGAAAAGCCTGTGGCCAAAAGACAAGCATAGGGACTTATTTTACTATATAGGGAAGAATGTAGGCATACAAAGGAAGTATGAGATGCTTTTAGTTACAGAGAACTCTACAAAATGCTTTGTGATTAGCAATTTTTTCAGAATTTGAAGAAGAAATAGAAAAAGAAGGTAAAAATATATTGCCAATCCATAGCCTGGAGGCCATTTATAATCTAAAGGAAGGTGCTGTTTTATGTAGCAGTAAAAAAAACTTTATAGGACAAGAGGTGTTAAAGAATGAAAATTCGAGTCAAGTTGGGGGTGATAAAAAGATCTTATTAAAAAGAAGGGAACTTAGTTATGTTTTGGGAACTGTCCCTAAACTTTGATAGATAACTTTTCTGTCTCAGAAGATTATCTTTTGGTGCTTGCATTAATGGGATTCTTGCTTATGCAGGTATTGGAGCTGAATGAGTAGCAGCTGATGTTCTTCTAAACAAATTACCTATGATTGTTACTTTGTAATTGCATATCATTATATATTTTCAAGTTAAACTAAACCTTCTTTATTTGTAGGTTTGCAATTATAGATCATCTTCATTTTCTGATGTAGAAACTCATTTTAGAACATCCCATGAAAACACTAAGAACTTGCTATGTCCATTTTGCCTCAAAGTTATTAAAATTGCAACACCCTACATGCATCATTATATGAAGCATCAGGTGAGATTTATCAGTTCTTATTTGTTCATGTTATTTTAGCAAAAAGATAGATTATTACTTAGAACATTGGTTAGATATGTTCTGCAAGGGAAGCAAGATTTTCCAAATGACTTGGTTAATTTGCAATTTATGCTGAATTACTTGTAAAACTAACTTCTTTTTTCTTGCTTCCTTTCTGGTGATGTTGTGGCTCATAAGTGAAAATTCTGAAAGATAGCCAGAAATAGGAGACCTAGGATTGAAGAGAAAAGGGAAGATGACTGGAATATCCATAAGATTGGTGGCTATTTCAGAATCCAAGAGTGGATATGGGAATGATTTTGAAGGTAGTTATCAGGGTAAGGGTGAGTTGAACTAAGAAAAGTGTGAGGACTCACAATCTTGTTTCTTTTTTTCCCCCATCCTTCCACTTTTAGCCTCATTATTATGAGAATAGTATTAACATTGACCAGAAGTGGTCTTTTATAGCTGCCAGTGATAAAGGAAACAGTAATGACACTTACAGTTTGGTATATGAACTCTGCTAAAGAACTATATTTAGGTCATTATTTGTCTTGTGGATGAATTCTGCTAGTTCTGCTATATAATTTTTGGGATCCAGTTTTAGCACTTAATACCCTTCTCGTGAATTCAGATATTATGCTTACTGGTTTTATTATTTTACTGGTGTAAAATATATATACATATTATATATACACACATACATCACATCTTCTTTATCCAAGTGAATTTAGTATCTCCTGTTGTGATTGGGATGATACTCATCTTTGAGAAGTCTGGCAAGATCTTTCTGTTCTAGGTTTTCCCAACTGTGTTCCATCAGGTGTTATTAGATGTTTCCTTCCACATTGTTACTGGTAAATAAATTTGGCAAATGCCTAGGTTTACAATATCAAACAGTTTTTTTTTTAAAAGATTTTATTTATTTATTCATGAGAGAGAGAGAGAGAGGCAGAGACACAGGCAGAGGGAGAAGCAGGCTCCATGCCGGGAGCCCTATGTGGGACTCCATCCCGGGACTCCAGGATCATGCCCTGGGCCAAAGGCAGGTGCTAAACAGCTGAGCCACCCAGGGATCCCTCTGCCCGGGAGTCTTTTAACATAATTTTTCCCACACACTTTCCTAAGCTCCAGAAGGAGATGGAGATACAAAAAAAAAAATGATAATTATGAAAGAGATGTGTGGACCCACTATGTGGGCTTTGTGATTTGTAAGGTTTTTATATACTGAGTTTTATGTCTTGTCTTGCCGTTTTGGCCCAATATTCTTTTGTTTATATGGGATACTTAGGCAGTCAGCAGTTAAGAGGGGGAATCTATTAATAAGAATCATCATCTTTCAAGGTATTTACAACATCCATAATTATTTACGAAGACTGGAACACCCTAGCTGAGTAGGACTATAAACTTGTAATTGAGATGACATCATTAGTGTGATATTAGACAATAAGAATTGTTGGCTTTTGTAAACAGGCACATTTTATTGTCTTCAAAGACTTTGTAACTTTTTTTTAAAGAATATGTATTAAGTCACAGGTGATTTTTAGAGCTAACAATCCAGTTTGTATGACTTTTAAGAAATAATAAAAGTGGTTTCAGATATGTTAAATATGCTCATTAAATCTTTAATAAAAACGTTAAACAGTTAACATAGGTAGTCAGTTACCTTATGGCAGCAGCAGGTGCTTTATAAGCATTGTCATCTTTAATCTTCACAATCACCATATGTATATTATTATTTTTAACTTTTAGATGAGGAAACAAAATTTTAGAGAAAGTAACTTGCTCAGTGTCCTATTACCTAATAAAAAGCAGAATTAAAATTTGACTTCAGAGCCCAGGCTTTTACTGCTTTACCACAGAACCAGATTTCACATTGGCATCTGGTCTAAGGGCAGAAATTACATATAGTTAGAATTCCTCTTAATCTCTCAAGTCTCCCAAACAGTTCAGTATGTGTATCAAAAAAGTTCAACACAGGTAATTATTTCTCTACCCTTGGAATAGGTCACTATTTTCTTTGATTGAACATGATGTTATTTAAAAATGTATTGTTTCTTTATCACTCTTATCACCTTGAAATGCGTTCATACACAAGATACATGTATAAGACTTGTGTCCAACTAATAGTAGATTAATGTATTCTATGTCATGACTCTGGACAAATGTTCATTGAATGGAACGACAGATGTTTTGAACTACTTAAATTGTACCTACTTCACATATGCATCTTCTCTGTCAGTCTCTTGCTTTTTGCCCCACAATCCAATTATTTAACAAATATTTATTGGATGCCTTACTATGTGCCAGGGGCTATTTTGGGTATTACATAAGAATGAACAAAACAAAGTTTGTGCCTTTTGGAATTTGAATTATAGTAGAGAAAGATAAATATATATGTGTGTTTATGTTTGAATGTATATGCGTGCTAGCTAGTGATAGTACTGTGGAAGGAAAATGTGAAGGATAAAGAGTGCCAGGGAGGTATTGGGAGTGGAGGAATGGTTATTATTATGTATGTAGTGTGGTAAAACATGAGCCTTTTTTTTTAAAGATTTTATTTATTTATTCATAAGAGACACACACAGAGAGAGAGAGAGAGAGGCAGAGACATAGGCAGAGGGAGAAGCAGGCTCCATGCAGGGAGCCTGATGTGGGACTCGATCCTGGGACTCCAGCATCATGTCCTGAGCCAAAGGCAGGCGCTAAACCACTGAGCCACCCAGGGCATCCCAAAACATGAGCCTTTTTGAAGGAAATAAAGGAATAAGCCATGTGGAAATCTGGGAAAGGAAATATTATGTAGGCATTGAAGTGAATGTACACATGAGGCACTCAAAGAGGCCAGTTGTGGCTAGAGCAGAGTAAACTAATAAGAGGAAAAGAAGTAGGGGATAAGCTTGTAGCAATAGAATGCAGTCCAGTTCATGTAGAGCTTCGTAAACCAGACACAGGACTTTGGAAAACCTTTGGAGCATTTAGGTTTGTGAACAATCTGCTGTGTTTTAAGATCATTGGAGAATAGACAAAAGGGAGGAAAGAGCATGATAGGAAGAAGATAAAAGTCCAGGTGAGTGGCTTGGACTAGTATGGCAGCAGTGGTTAGAGGTAATGAGGAGTGGAAAGATTATGAAAGTTTTTGAAGGTAGAGCTAACAGGTTGGATATGGGTTGTTGTGTGAGTGAGTTAACCAAGTTTTTGTCCTAACCATTTGCAAGAATGGGATTTTCATACACTCTTTTAGGGGGAAGTCTGAGAAAACAGATTTTGGAGGGCAGGGGGTAGGGAGAAAATCCAGAATTCAATTTTGTCCATGTTGATTTGAGATGCATAATAGCTATCAGGTTGTGATGTCAAGTAGATAGTTGTATAGATAGTATGTAAAGCCATGAAACTGGATAAGGTAACCTGGCAAGTGATTATAGATAGAGAAAAGATTTCTGGGAATCAGATTCTGGAAAACTTTCTTTCTGTCCTGTTGTTTTGGTGTGTATCTTTGCCAAGTTTTCTTTTTTCCTCTTTTTTCCTCCTTCAGCACGTATAAGTGAATTTTTAAAAATTGCCTGAGTCTATAATATAATCCAGTGCACCACACTTCTAAAATAGTCTTAAGATGCAGCTAGAATAGTAATACAAACACATTATATTTATACATTGCTTTGAATTTTGTAAAGAGCTTTGATTTATGAAATGCCTGCTGTGTGCTAGTAACTGTGCTGGGTACTTCTCAGTATATTACCTTGTTTGAATTTTATAAATGACTGAGTGTATTTAAATGGAAATAATAATGTACTGGCAGATTTTAACTTTCGAGAAAATATTCTTTTGTATTTGTGTATTGTTTAAGATATATATATATCTTTTATATATATCTTATATATATATGCATACATATGTCATCTCTTAATGAGAGCATATAGGTAAGATTGTAGTTGATTTGATATTATATAATAGAAAGAACATGGATCAGGAGTCTGGCAGTGCCAGTAACTAGTTTTGGGGGAGTGATTTAGATTTTTCTTGGGTCCTGTTTCCCAGCAGCATTGGGTTTAAAGAGGGACTCACTCAAGGGATCTCAATCATAAAATAGATTGGGAGTAGTTCTGATTTACGTCTCCATATCCGCACTGTTCAATGTTCATATGGCTCTTGAAGTTAAAATTAAATAAAATTAAAAATTCAGTTCCTCTGTTACACTTAGTACATTTCAGGTGCTCAATATGTGGCTACTGGCTACCATATTGAACAGTGCAGCTGTAGAACATTTTCCTAATTGCAGATGGTTATATTAGCACAGTTTTATACAACCACTTCCATAACAACCTTCTTTGAAATGTCTGGTTAAGTATTTGAATTTATTTTGCCAACTTGTCAACCAAGTGGAAATAGCAAAAATTAAAAAGAATTTACTTTTTTTAGGATAAAAACATAGTATAGCTCTTTTTAACCATATCATGAGTCTAAATACTTTATAATTAGATGAGCTTTCACATCACTGCTGAGAGAACTTTAATTAGAACCTACTGATAGAACGTTTATGTTCAATTTCTTTCTAGTAACAGACATTTTTGAAACCCAAATACTATTGTACAGTGTTTTTAAAAATGAAATAACATATTGCTGTTATTTATATGGGAGATGTAAAATAATACTAGTTTTAAAATTACTTAGGTATCATTAAAGTAAATCAGAACAGTTTAAGGGCACGACACTTGTGGTTATAGAAATTATTTTTCCTCCCTTTTCCTGTTTTTAAACAGAAGAAAGGAATACATCGTTGTACAAAATGCAGACTACAATTTTTGACATGCAAAGAGAAAATGGATCATAAGACTCAACATCATAGAACATTTATAAAACCTAAACAACTGGAAGGATTGCCTCCTGGAACAAAGGTAAGTTTAAATGTCTTGTATTTTAACACTTTGTATGATAATAGAAATTAACTCCTGCCTTCTTTTATCTATTAGATATAATACTTTAAAACATGATGTCTGATTTTTATGAAGACTTTAATTTTAGGCTTTATCATTCTTATATCTAGAAAAAAATCCTTCTGACCATCCTTTTATGATCAGTGGTGTGTGCTGTGCTAAAGTGTTATTCCTTTGTAAAAAGTGCAACAGATTAACTATTCCCTGAGTCAGCGGGTTGTGTCGATATTATATAGGCTGTTTTTGAGCTATTCCAGTTGAAGTGTATACGTCAGTTTTATCTGCTAAACTATAAGATAGTTGAGATCAGGACTCATGTTTTATCTTTGTGTCCTTAGCTTCTGGTATAGTGCCTTGAGTGCCGTAGATCTTTGTGTCCTTAGCTTCTGGTATAGTGCCTTGAGTGCCGTAGGTTCTCAGATGTTCACTGAAGTTGTTATTACTGAGTCTACTCTCAGAGAAGCAAGTTCTGCTGCTGGATAGCATTATGTTTTAAGTGAGCAAACAACATGTCTGACTGCATACTGATGATTGTAATTTACTTTTCCCTTTTTGCCTTATATACCTCTGTTTTCTCTGACTTCTTTATATACAGTCAGCTCTTGAATATTTGCTCCAGTGGAGGGAAACAGAGGCATGGATAATCCAAAGTGAAATAATCCCCAAAACATTTATATTTGCCTTTGGGTACTTACCTTTGAATGTGGGTATGTCTGTTATTTGAATTAACTAAAACAATATAAAGCCATGCTCTGAAGACCTAGAGCAAGAGAAGCTATCCAGCATCGTTCCCTGCAGTCCATTCATTCCATGCTGGGACTAGACATGCAGAACACTAATGTAAGCAGTGCAGTCCTCTCTCATATTTTCCCTTATTAATAATAATAGTAATAATATTAATAATGATACTAAATGTTCTTATAGCACCTTAGAATAAGGCTTTTGGTATGCTTTTTTATTTAATCCATACAGCAATCCAGTGAGGAAGACAAGACAGTTATTGCCCTATATTATAAAGAAGAGAGTAAGTTACTTATTTAGGTCACATAGCTAGGATGGCATGGTATAAGATTTAACCTCAGGTCTTTTGATTCCTAGTCCAGTGCTTTTGTGTGATACCAAAACACATGTATTTCATAGGACTTCCTCATAGTCTGTTCCTCAAATACATGGGAGAAGTACAGTTAAATGATTAATGAGAATGTTTGTAGGCAATTGTTTTTCATTGCCAATCAACAAATGTAATTTCTGGATACTAAATGATAAGCTTTATATTAGTTCTCTTTAAGGAAATTCTAAATATTAAACTCTCCATACAGTATAATGAGTTGATATATAACCTCTCCCATAACCTTTGTATACATAAATCCTGCCTAATGAGCTCCTGGAAAGAGGAGGTCATATTTACTATAGATCTGTTTGTTTTATAGCTGTTGAGGGATAATGCAGGCCTTTCTAGAATTATTTTTTGGGCTTTGAGATTTAAATTTTGATCTCTGAATTATTTGAGATATATCAGAGCATAAAAATAGCTATGGAATGTGCTCTTTTAATAGTTCTATAATTTGCATTAACTCCTAATTATGCATTAATAACTGTTAACATGACTGATATCAATACCAAAAAATGTAGTATTACAAGTGAATAAATATCAAGTTTAATTTAATTTAATTGGTATGAACATTTAGAATAAATGGAAGACTTATCCAATTATAGTTTATACTTGCCCTTTCCAAATACTTGATGTTTAACTTTTTGTTATACAGTTATATTTTAATACTAATGCCATGATTAATTTTCTAAAGCAAACATTATCTCCATTTTTGTAGGTTACTATTCGAGCTTCAGTTGGACCTCTTCAGTCAGGATCTTCACCTACACCTTCCATTAGTGCAAGCACTTCTACCCTTCAGCTCTCACCTCCAAGGACTAAAAATATAACTGCTAAAAATCCCACAAAATCTAACACAGGCAAACCTAATACAACTAAATCCAATACAAGTAAACCTAATGCAAGTAAGCCTAATGGAAGTAAATCTAAATATAAATCAAAAATCTCTAATATGCAAAAGAAACAAAGCACATTGGCTAGTAGCAATAAAAAAAGTAAAGTCAATACAGCATTGAGGAACTTAAGGTAATCTTTTATTCCTCATATATAATACTAATTTAAAGTATAAAAACTTTATTTAATGTAAATTCACCCTATTACACAGCTCTCTTATACATGTATATGCTATCACTATGACATAAAGGCCAAACAAATAATAAAAAGGTATTTTTTTACAACTCTTGAACAGTATTTGAATTATTATTTTTTATAATATTCATTTATTATACTGGTATTATATGTGTGCTTATATCTTGTGATGTTTGTATTGCTTAACTTAAGCCCTTTTATGCCAATGAAAAACATTGATTTATGTTAAGATTGTTTACACTTAATCTAGCTATTATTCCAGAACAGATTTTTCAAACTATAACTCTATTTAAACATATTCATTTAAACACCTTGGCCTTAATTAACAGAACATTAATAAGGCCCTCCCTTATTATTTTTGTTTTAAAATATATTTTTATCATTTTCTTTATATCTCCATAAGGTATCGTCGGGGAGTTCACAAGTGCATTGAGTGTTGTTCCGAAATAAAAGATTTTGCAAATCACTTTCCTACGTATGTCCATTGTAGTTTTTGCAGATACAACACTAGCTGTAGCAAAGCCTATGTAAATCATATGATGAGGTAAGATGAGTTAAACATCTGTAATTACCAATTAAAATTATAGTTCAGAAAGTTTGTTTTGAAACGGTTATCCTTTTAGAAGCCAATTTTTCTCTTTAAGGATCTAATTGTCTAGTTACAGGGAACTTTTAGGGTAATACCTGGTACTATTTTCCCCAGCATCATAACTCATAAAATTATTGGAACTAAAATTGTAAGAATAGTTAGACTAACGAAATTAGGATAGGTTTGTTAGGGAAATTGTTTCTCTATGGGTATTTTTTTTTCCTTTAGAATTTTTAAAGGATCATTTTCAAATATAAAAAAATCAAATATTTTAAATATATTTACCAAACAAATACATGTAATCTCATGAATATTATTTTTTGAAAGCAGTTACTTTGAGAGACTCCAGGGTTTTTAGTGATGTTAGGAACTTTATTGGGTCTTTTTCTCTTTTTCTCTGTAAGCCATTATCTGTCCATCTATCCATCAAACCATCTATCCTTGCATTCATTCAGTGGAATGAGAGACTATCCCAGTCATGAGGCCATTGTTGGAATTTTTTATTGTATTAATTCATTCAGCTTAGGTTATTTGGATACCTGATATTTACTCTATGCAGAGGAGGCCTTCACAGCCCACATTTCTTTCATTTGTATCTCATTAATAGAGGCATCCCTTAGGATACATTTTTATTTTTTAAAAAATAGTCAAAAATTGTTTACCTGTAGAGCAGTTAGGTTGATCATTCAAAGTGAGATTGTTCCATTTTTTTTTAAATTAGAATTGAAGTATAAAAGGGATTTTCTTACAGATCATAAAATGACCTCTGTATTACTTTTTGGTCATTAATCAGCTACTCTTTTCAAGGATTTCCCACCTTCTTGATGACTTTAGCACTTCTCTCATACTTTCTTTCCCCTTTATTAGCCTGACCTCAGGTACCTGGACTTCGTCAGTACTAGTGCTTCACATCAACCCTTAAGTTATTGTAACCTCCTTTCTTATACCACAGTACCATTTTAATCTCATAATACCTACTGTTCATTTCTTTACAATTGCCATTACCCTGTAGAGTTAACTCCTTTTGAGTTTTTAGTACTTTGAATCCCTTTTTCAGTCTAGTAGCACCTGTTTAACTGTATAGTCAACCTTACTCAGGGTCATCTGTTTTGATTGCTGCTTTGTTTTTGTTCTAGAATCCTTTACCTTTTTAGTCATGGTCACTTCACATATATCCCAACATGAGACTGGAACTTCTTACTCTCCTGAAGTTTATGCTCAGTTTTAGACTTACTCAGCTGGATTTGATTCAATCAACTCTGACTTTGTGGTCTTTAACGTTGTTGACTGGGTCCTATCTTTTTATTTTAAAATACCTCTTTATTTACTTTTTACTTTTTTAATACTTCTTCGTTTTTATCTACAATATTTATTTAAACTTTTTTTTAGTACTCTGGAAATTTTATTTTAGTCTCTTAGAAGTTAACCTGGCCAAGTATTCAGTTGGAAGTCACCCTTTATTTATTTATTATTTTTTAAAAAGATTTTATTTATTTATTCATGAGAGACACAGAGAGAGAGAGAGGCAGAACACAGGCAGAGGGAGAAGCAGCAGGGAGCCCGATGTGGGACTCAATCCCAAGACTCCAGGATCACACCCTAAGCCGAAGGGAGATGCTTAACCACTGAGCCACCCAGGCGTCCCTCCAATTTTATTTCTTAATCTTCCTAAGATCCAACTCTATATTTCTAATTATTTCATACATATTTTTACCTTTGACTCACTAGCATCTAAAAAGAACAAAAATGAGCCAAACATTATCATCTGTCCAGAATTCACATAACTACCCAAATACTCTTTCAGGGCACCATTTCTGTGAATGTGGAACATCAGCTGGAAATAGTTTACTATCCCAAGTTTCGTAAGCTCATGAAGTTCTCTTGATCAGCTACTGTGCATTATGGTTTTCTGAGACTCCCCTTTTTGCATTCTGCTACTCTGCTTCTCAACTATTGGACTGGTCTGCACCTGTATTCCAATTCCTCTAAGCCAGGCCCCAGGCATCTTTTCCCCAGTATACTGCTGTGTGAAATGTGTCTTCTTTCTGTGACAAATACATGGTTGCCTGAATGGGGCTTTAATTCTGCCCTTAATTTGTAAGGGGCCAAATTGGAAAATGTTTTGTTTTGTTAAACCAAGAATCTTTCACTCTTCCCTCTCTCATTTATCACAGGCTTCCCACCTGTCCTATAGAACCTCCAAGTCCATTCTATTGCAAAACATTTATGATTAGCCCACCTTCCTCCATATCCTTTTTCCAATTCCCAGTGAGCCCCAACCCTGCACTTTATTATCTTTGTGCTGTGCACTGAGCTCCTGCTTATTGTTAGCCTCTTAATGGAACTGAAAGCTTCCATTGCCACTCTTAGGGTTTAGTAGGTCTCTAACTTTTTATCTACTGGTACACTTGCCTCATTCACTGCCTTAGGTATCCTCCCATTGAATGACCACCATTACTTCTGCCCCACATGGATTCATATTATAGGCTTGAGTTCTGTATGTATAGAAGATTCATTTTCTCCAGAGGTTGAGTACCTTTAATCTTATCCTGTACCACCTCTGTACTCTCATTTGGTCTTTTTCCCTCTGGTCTCATATCTGCATCATCCCCATAAATTGACTACTGTTCCCCAGAATAAAATTTATCACATAACTCATTTTTGACAGTGGCGTTTCCTTATTCTTTGTTAAGTCTAGAATGTCCCTATTCTTCCTCTCCATTTATCTTCTTTTTTGGGGGTGTCTGATCACCACAACCACTCAGAGGGGTCATTCCTCACTTTGAGCGTGTACCATTCATTTATTTTTTTGCATTTTATTATATTTGTTTGTGTTTGTATTATTTCCTTGAGAAGAAGGGGCTGTTTGTATTCACCATGTCACTCAGCACATTACAAATAGCAAGGCATTATTTGTTGAAATTATAAAAGGCTCTAAATAAAATCTCAAAAGAGGATGTTAAAAATCTTGATGCATTTGTAGTCTTTTTGGAATAAGTCTCTTTTGAAGAAGAGTGTCATTCAACATGTAAGTTTTAAGTGATTTTTTTTAAAAAGTAGTATTATTTGGGTTTTGTTGTTTAAATTACTGCACCTTATTTACTTATAGACTTCAGATAGTAATTAATAGAAGTCACCTGAAAAAAAAAATGGAAGCAAATTACCATATAATATTGTTGTTACTATTCCTCAACATGATGTATATAAGAAGGCTTTTTCTCTACATGTAATAGAACTAAGTTAATGGACATAAGTATTTAATATTTCTTTTTCTAGCAGAGTTTACTATTTGCTAAGAAGTATGGCAATCTGGTGGTGAAGAATCAGACAAATCTGGATTTGAATCCAAGCTTCACCATTTATTTATTACCTGTGTGACTTTGGGCAAGTTACTTAACCTGACTCCCAGTTTACTTTTCTTAAAAAGAAAGTCATTGTGATAATTACAGAAAATATACTTAAAGTGCTTAATAAAATGATTTTTACTTAGGAGATATTCAAGTAATTGTAGCTGTTATTTCTAAGTTGTCATTATTAGGTATTGTGGATAAAGTCCTTGCCTCTAATTTTCACAATTTAGTAGGAGAGGTATATTTACCTAATTTAAGATGGTAAACAAATGACTATGAGAGCGCAGAGAAGGGAAGAATGAGTTCCTTAAGCAAGATATAGGAGGAGGTATTTTATAAATGACATTTCACTTAGGCTTTGAAGGATGACTTAAAATTTTACCAAGGAAAAGGAAAACTGATATAACAGGTTGTTCTAGATAATGGATAAGACAGAACACTGAATTTTTATGATATGTTTGAGTTCATTATATATTTTGTATAGATTTACTGGCATTGAAGAATAGTCGTTAGAAGCAGTTGGATTATTGTGGTAGCGTCATAACTGATGTCCTGTCTAGTCCATCCCCTTCCCCCTGCCTCTCCAGTTTTTCCTTTATTCTCTTACTGCAGTAGGCATGTCTGCTCAGGTCTTTTTTAGCATAAAAATCCTTTGCCCTTCTAACATTCATAGTCATGAAGTTCAGATATTCTGGAGAGTATAAGACCTTTCAATATTTAATGTCTGACCACTTTTTCAGCTCCTTTAGAGCTTATTTTATTTTTATTTTTTTCCTTTAGAGCTTATTTTTTTGAAAATCCCTCCGTATCTTGCTCTGTACTTTGTCTAGAGCAAGGCGTAGTGCCCTTCTTTACTGAAATGAACTCCTGATTGTTAGCTGGTTTCTATTCCATTTACCTGTAGTTTTCCTTCATGCAGCCAGAAAACTTTGTGTCACTATTAATGTTTATAATTATTTATGAATATGTATTCATTCATTTAAAAGCATTTATTCTGTGCCACCTGCTGTTTAACTTTTTTGCCTCCCCCCACTCACGCCGGGACCTTGAGAGACAACCTGCCCTCTTTCTTTTTGTATTCTCAACCTCTAGTGTAGTGTCTTTAATAGTAGGCATACCATTAGTACTGTTAACATTTCCTTTTGTGTTTCATCAGAAATAAAGTTGTTTTATACTGAATTAAAATTATTAAGAAGATACGGTCAAAGGGAGTTTTTTCTCCTCTAGTCTTATTGAGGTATAATTTATATATAATAAAATTAACTTATTTTTAGAGAAAGCTTAATGAATTTAGATAATTATATACAGTCTTATAACTAGGTGGTGAATTTTTAAAACCTAAATTTCAATATATGTTTTTACTCTATTCTTTTTCTTTAAATTTTATTTAAATTCAGTTAATTAACATATAATATATAATTGGTTTCAGAGGTAGAGGTCAATGATTTATCAGTCTTATATAATACCCAGTGCTCATTACCATGTACCCTTCTTAATGTCTGTCACCCAGTTACCCCATCTCCTTATCCCCTCCCCTCCAGCAACCCTGTTTGTTTCCTATAGTTGTTTCTCTTACAATTTGTCTCGCTCTCTTAGATTTATTTTTGTATTGTTATTAACTTTATGCAGATCTAACAGGAAGAAGGAGGCTAACTTTTTTTCTTGTTTATGAGCTATAGATCTACTTTTCCATTTCTATAATACAAGGATAATAATAAAAGAATGGAATTTGTGTAATAAATATAAATAAAAGAGCATTATAGGGTTTGTTTTTTTAACAGGGAACTCTAAATTAAAACTGGATTTGGACAACTGGAATTTTAAAATTACCAACATTTTAATAAGTTACAAGTTGTAGACAGAATGGAAGCCATCAATACCCTAAAATGTAATTTTTTTCTCCTCTTAACCAAATAAATCATACCAAAATTGTCTGAGGAGAAAGAAAAAAGCTTTTAAAAATAACTTTTAAATCTCATTTAAAAAATAGCTTTGTTTGATTCATATTCTTTGGGAATCAGATAAAGTCTTGGATTTATTCTTCTGAAGAAACAGTTATGTGCACAAATTTTTGCATATAATTTCAATGTTTCCTAACCCCTGATTTTCTCTTCTAAAAAATATTTATTATTTGTGATGTTGTCTTGCATTTATAAACTCTTTAATAGTAGTTATCCCCAAATTGAAGAAATAACTGTTAGAAGTCTTCTGAGGACATTTTCTGGAGATTATATATATATAGCTAGTCACAGTATTTCTTCTCCCACATAATACATGCTGTACTGGTGATGGTTACGTTGTATCTGAGAGTGACCATTGACCTGGTGCATTGGCTACTTTGAGTCTATCAGTGCAAACTAGGACTACTGCTTCTTGGTCTTTAGCTTGCCTAAGAATCACTGGGAAAACTTGTTAAAACAGATTCTGGTAGAGCCAGCCTACTGGCAGACATTAATTCAGCTAGGTTTGTGGGGGAGCACAAACCTTTGCATTTCTAAATAAGATCCTAGGTGATGCTGATGTTATCAGTCTATGCGATTCCACTTTGAGTAATCCTGTGCTAAAGCTAATCCTGGGTTTCTAATATAGGAAAGCTTTCTTTACTAGATTTTCTTTACTAGATTTAAACGGGTATCTGAAAGCTATTATCTTTAACTACAAAGTTTGGATAGTAGTTCTCTGTTTTGTGTTTAGGAGAAGCATCATTTTAGCTAAAGAGTTCTGCTTTAATTCATTTTTTATAGACTGCTAGTAATTGCATAGAACTCTCTAAATATTTGATTTTCCAAATGGTAAACAGTGCAGTGGCATTTAGCTGAAGTACTGTTTACTTCAAAGATCATTTGGATTTTATACCCCTCCCAACAAGCTTGTTAAAATTGGAAAATGGGGTGGCTCTGTAGTTGGTCATCTGCCTTCAGCTCAGGGAGTGATCCCGGGGTCCTGGGATCAAGTCCCACATCGGGCTCCCCACAGGGAGCCTGCTTCTCTCTCTGCCTGTGTCTCTGCCTCTCTTTCTCTTTCTCTAATGAACAAATAAAATCTTTAAAAAAAATTGGAAAATGATTTAAAAAGTGGTTATTGATAATGATTCATGTTATAGCAAAAATGTTATCTGCAAAAATTTTAAAGTGTCTTCAACTCTTCCTTAACACATGAAGAAAATTAGTTTGATGTACTTTAAAAAAATTTATTTCCTTTTTTCTGTGTAATGGTGAGGTACTGATCTTAGAAGAGTTAGAAGAATGTGCTTAGAGAAATGTGTGTCATTTGAAAAGAAAAGGATAAGGTGGAATTAGAAAAACATTGAATTAAACAGGGATGGCACGCATTATTTTATTATTTATATCCTCTTTTACTCAAAACTAGAAACTTTATAAAAGCTATAAATTAATAAGACTTGCTGTATAACAATATTAATAAAATCTATTTTGTCTCTCCAGCTTTCATAGTAACCGCCCAAGTAAAAGGTTTTGTATTTTTAAGAAGCATTCAGAAGATCTCAGGTAACTAGTTGATCTTTTTAAATTCTTTCTGTTGAAAAATAATATAATTTAAATTTTGTATATGTGACATCTTTATTGAAATATAGTTCATATACCATGTAATTCATGCCTTTAAATAGTACAATTAATAGTTTTTAGTGTATTCAGTTGTACAAGCTTAACATGGTTAATTTTAGTACATTGTCATCACTCCAAAAGAAACTCCTATACCCCTTAATGGTCATCCCCATATCCTTCCAACTCCTCTCATCCCTAAGTAACCACTAATCTAATTTTTGTTTGTATAGATTTATGTGTTGTGGACATTTTACATAAATGGAGTGATACAACATGTGATCCTTTGTGACTGGCTTCTTCCATTTAGCATATTTTTAAGATTCATCCATGTTGTAGCATGTCAGTACTTCATTTTTTAAATTGCTGAATAATATCCCATTGTATGGATCTACTGTAGTTTATTTATCTGTTAAGGTTATTTTAGCTTTGAAGCCATTATGAATATTGTTGCTATAAACATTTGTGTACAAGTTTTTGTCTGAACTTGTCTTCATTTCTCCTTTATGTGTGTATATGTGTATGTATATATATACATATATGTATATTATATACATATATGATTAGACTTTCTGGGTTATATGGTAACTCTATGTTGAGCCTTTGAAGACCTTCCGAACTGTTTTACAAAGTACCTCCACTACATTCCCACAGCAATGTAATGTGTAAGGGTTCCAGCTTCTTCACATCTTTGCCAACACTAATTATCTGTTTGGGTTTTTTTTAAGATTTTATTTATTTGAGAGAGAGAGATATTCAAGAGTGGGGTTAGGTACAAAGAGAGAGGGAGAAGCAGGCTCCCAGCTGATCAAGGACCCTGACTTGGGGCTCAATCCCAGGACAATGTGACCATGACCTGAGCTGAATGCAGATGCTTAACCAACTGAGCCACTCAGACGTCCCATTTGTTTAGTGAGTGTGAAGTGGTATCTTATTGTGGTTTGTTCTGATTTTTTAAAAGCCTGATGTTGGGATGCCCAATTTGGAAATCTAAATGATTGCTATTGGATGTTAGAGAGTTCTATTCTTTATATCCTTAGACTAGATATAGATCCTTAGACTAGACTTAGATCTCTTACTAAATTTGTTTCAAGTGGTGACAAGTGGTGTTGAGGTTATTTTTATGCATTTATAAGATGAGAACAAAAATAAAGTTCTCCAACAATATCTGAATATTAAAAAGATACCTAAGATACCTAGTAAAATGACTAACACTTTTTTAGTGTTGAAGTAAATTTCTTAAACCACTGAAATTCTTGAAATTATTAGGTAGCTTCATAATTCTTATTTTTCCTTTCTCAAAGAGAAGTGTACAGCTTGCTTACTGTGCAGAAAGAACTGATGAATATTTCTAAAGATATTGATAATTAACTTTGGTTGTACCACATGCTTAACTCAGAATCTACTGAGCAACCATTTTTAAAAATATTCTTTTGAATTTTTGGACTCTGTTCTTTATTTTGTTCACGTTGCCATTGCTACTTGAAATATCAGTGTCTTTGCTGTATCAAACTAACATATATAGAGATAAGGTTAGCCAGTACTTGTTTTAGTGCTTTGAGTTAGTGGAAACGTTGGAAAAAGGGATGATATTATGTTTCAGGACTTCTTTTTTATTTTTTTAATTTTATTTATTCATGAGAGACAGAGAGAGAGAGAGAGAGAGAGAGGCAGAGACACAGGCAGAGGGAGAAGCAGGCTTCACGCAGGGAGCCTGATGTGGGACTCTATCGTGGGTCTCCAAGATCCCGCCCTGGGCTGAAGGTGGCGCTAAACCGCTGAGCCACCGGGCCGACCTGTTTCAGGACTTCTGTGTATTAGTCTCTATTACTAGTTTTGTTCCCCAGATTTCTGTATGTATTCCTTTATCTAGTTTGGGTTGCTACTCTGGTGAGTCAGCCTTTCCTTGATCACTTGATTTTACATTGTATCATCTCCCTTGTGCTTCATCCCAGTACTTCCTATCTGGGTCTTCTCACTAGAATATGTGTAGTTTGGGTTTTTCTCTCTGCCAGGCATTGAGTAGTGCCTGGCACATGGTAGGCACTCAATAAATATTTGTTGAATAAGTAACATATATGTTGAAAATGACTTATATAAAACAATAGGTCTCATCTATGATATAGCTCATAGAGATCGGTAGCTCACAGGTAGAGAAAATTTTGATTTCGTTTTAAAAATATATTAGAATACATTTTAAAACATTTACTGAATTCAAGGAAATGGATAAGGTTTTATTAGATGTTGCCTTTACTGAAAATTTTTATAAGAATAAAAGGGTTTTTTTCAAAAGGTAAGAATTTGATTTGCTTTTTACCCTACTGTTGTCAAGCTCAGTTATATGTTTGTTTTTTAAATGAACTATATGATTTTAAAGATCTAGATTTCTTTTCTTTAAACTGGAATAGGTCTAAAATTGAAAACTGGTCGATTTCTGTGACTGGACATAGCATACTTAGAATTATAGAACAGTAATTTTTGTGATTACTCTTGTTGGAATGGAATATTAATTCTTTGGTTATTTATTTATGATACATCTGTCAGATACATAATATAGCAGGTCCTGTGAAGATGACAGTGATGAATAAGTCTTGGACCACCCTTCAGGGAATGTATAGTTTGTTGGGTGAGAGATATAAGGGGTGAATGTGTAAAACTATAATAAAGCAAGGGGAACTTTAATAAGTGCAATAAGGTCTCTTTTCCAAAGGAGAGAGAAGTAATTTGGAATGATCTGCGTAGGTGTTAGGTATACTTGGCTTTAAAGAATGAGTATTATTTATACTGATAGAAGATGCACAGAGGCATTTGAGTTAACAGAAATAGTGTGAATAAAGGTGCAGAAATGAAAAAGTACAAAGCATACAGAGGGAATGACTAATAGTAAATGGATGGAGCATGAAGTTCAGATAATACTAATAAGATTGATGTCTGGAGCAATAGTTTTAAGCTCAGAGCCAGGTTGTGAAAGTGTTAAAAATAAGGTTAAGGAGTTTGGACTTAATTTGGAGAGCATTAGAAAACCTTTGATATTTTATATAGTGATACTGAAGGAAGGTTCAATAATAAGATGAGTTATAGATGCATGAATCCTATAGATTAGGACTATTGTGGTAGTTACAATTTAGTTAGAACCTAAATTAAAATGATGAGGCAGTATTACATCATCTTTAAGAATATGGGCTCTGAAACCAAAGTGCTCAGTTTCAAACCTAGTCCTGACCTTTACCAGCTCTTCTCCTTGGTAGTTTACTGATCTAACTTTATAAAAAGGTGATAAATTATAGCAACTACCTTTTTGGGTCATTAAAATATTTATTTATTTATTTATTTATTTATTTATTTATTTATTTATTTATTTAAAATTTGAGAGAGAGAGAGAGTGCAGTGGGGGAGAAACGGAGAAAATTTTCAAGCAGACTTGAGTGCAGAGCCCCACACAGGGCTCCATCCCACAACCTGTGAGATCATGACCCCAGCCAAGACCAAGAGCTGGACGCTCAACCATGTGAGGTGTTCAGGTGCTCAATATTTAGATAAGATGATAAGTCTAAAGTTGTTAGACTAGCACAGTATAAGTATTCAATGAATATTATAAAATGGTTGCCATATTGATTATTTTAAGGAAGAAGAAACAGATATCTGTAGTTTGAACTTTACTATTAGAAGAAAGAAACATCATAAGAAAGACCAATCAGAAGTTGATTTGGGGAGAAAGTACATAATTGTAGTTTTGATTGAGGATCAGTTTTGATGTGCTTTATGTGACATCTAGGTGTAAAATGCACAGCACACTGTTAGACTAGAGCTTCAGGGAAGAAGTCAGTCTATGGTATGTTACTCGTTTATATTTTGTATATTGGCAAAACTTAAATTTTTAAAGTATATGACGAACTTCAAAACTATTTATGCTTTGTTAGTAAGTTGACAGTAGCAGTAATAACATTACATGATCTATTTTTTTTTTGACCTAAGCAAAAATAACTTAAAAGCAGAATTCTAAAGAATCTTGAAGACTCCTAAGAGGAGGAGATGCAACCAGAAAGCCATCAGTTACTAATATGGCTTCTCTCTGGTCTGACCTACTGAGACAGAATGATCTTGTCTTTATTATTTTCTCAGGAGTTGGGTTCCATTTCCTTCCTTACTGCAGATCAGCTTTCTCTATTGGTGACTTGAACATACTAGTTCCAGCCTCCCACATCTTCCCAGATGAAGAAATTTGATTATAAATCCTGATTTTACTCATCTTTGTTTAGTGGAGTCATGAGTTTGGCATTTGATCCCTGCCCCAAGTAACTGTGACTAGTGGGATAGTAATTTAGCTACTACTTACCATTGAGAGTACTTTTGATTTCTGCAAGGGCAGTTTGTTAGTAGGGAAGACTATATAATTAGTTATTAAAGTTAAGCTTTTACGTTTAACTTAAAAATATTCCATTTAGAAATTAGTACATTTTAATAATCATTTTCAAGAATACTTTTAATGAATGTTTGATAAAATTCATTTAAGTTGAATAGACTAAATTTTTTAAACAGTCCCATTTATAGTTCAAATTCCTAAAACACCTTAATATCTTTTATACATTTAATATATTTGATTTTCCTTTAAACAGCATTTCAGATGCTTGACCCATAAGATCCCAAGTGCTTAATTCTAGCAAATAATAAATTAAATATATAGTGTTTTTCTAAGTTCTCTGACATATTTCCATATTTTTGCAGGGTTAATATTTTTAAATACCTTTCAACAAAAGCCAAAAGTTTAAACACAATTTAAATTAGAATCTGAAGGCCAGTGTTACATCCTATATGCCAACAGTGTTTAAATTCTTCAAGTAGCAAATGCTACACAGTTTGATCCAGTGAGTATAAAAACTATTCCGAATTCAACAAAAAGTATTAGTGGCTTTGGGAATTGTTTCCAAACATTTTTGAAAATTTATAATCATTACAGATTTCACTTAGAAACTACAGCACTCAGTGAAGTTTTGTTAAGGAACCAGTAGTTCAGGCCCCAGTGCATGGACCAGTTTACTGTGCTGATACACCAGGGACTAAGCTTTGGACTTCTGTAGTGAATTAACTACTTTAGTTAATTCATTGTTAAATGAGAATAATGCCAACCTTGGATGTTTGTGGTGAGAATTAAACCAAATAATATATGGGAAAACCTTTAACACATGGTACACAATTGATGACAGATACAACATGATCTGAGAATATGATCTATTGTCTATTTTTATATTCTTTTCTTTAAAACTGTTGTTTAGTGTTTGCTTTGTTTGGTTAAGAACTCCAAGAGATACTTTGGAATTCTCTATAGATTCCCTTATAGCTACCTATTTATAGCTTTTTATTTTGGCTATTGTTCAGACCATAGACATTATTAAATCTTCTGTCGTACTTTGGGATTATTATGGTTAATATTATCTTTATAATTGTGAATTCTGAAGCGTAAAGCCTTAACATTTCTCTTCTTAAAGCCTTAAAACATTTCTCTTCTATTTCATCACCTAAATAAAACACTAGATTGTAAGTTCTGTCAGAGCAGACTATATTTTTTGGTTATCATTGTACTCACAATGCAGTATAATAGTACAGTATGTACACAGCCTCCGTAAATACATATTGAGTGAATGAATACTTATACCCTTGCTTTGCAGATGAACAGAGGCACAGGTAGATTGTGGCTTGTTGAAGTAACACAAGTTGTTACTGAGGCCACCTCTGGATTGTAGGTCTCTTGTTACATAATTTTTAAAGCATGAGCGGTAAAAGTTTATAAAACAAAAATGCTTTCTGTAAATAAATGATAGCTTAATTTGAATATGGCTATTTTGCTTTCTAATCATTTCAGTTATATCAAGCTTTATAACAAAAATTGGAGTGACAATTATGACAAAAAGCAAATCATAGAAAAATAATCATTGAACTTGTGTATGGATTTTTATAAGAAAACAAAAACCTTTTATATTATTTGCTTTTTTTTTTTTTTATAGGGGCATTACTCTAGTGTGCCTTAGTTGTGATTTCGTAGCTGATGTTTCTGGCTTAGATAATATGGCCACACACTTAAGTCAACATGAAACTCATACTTGTCAAGTTGTGATAGAGAAAGGTACGTATATATAATTGTATTACTTTGGATTTTTGATATTTATTCCAGTATTTTGGGTCAGCCACAATATGAGCTCTTTACTAAATTGTTATTCTCACTCATCATATTTCATGTGCTGTTTTAAATATAAAACTTTTCTTCTAATTTCAGTTTCTGTTTGTATCCCAACTTCTGAACATCTTTCTGAGTAAGTTTAATTTTTAATTCAGTGCATTTTACTTTGATGGATTTTAGCACTGTTGCATTTTAAAATGTATCATTAAAGGAAATGAAAAATATTAAAGTATTTTGTTGTTTTTTTTTTTTTTTAAAGCTGCTTGTTGAAATAGGTTCCTGCTCTTTGGAGCTCGTGACCTGGTGCAAGACAAGTTGGAATTTCCTAAGTTCAAAGTTCTGAGATGTTTTCTTACACAAAGGCAGTTAAGCAGCCAAGTTCATGACACTAGCTCTCATTATTCAGCAATTTTCAGCTTCAAATGGGACTAGATTCTTATTCCACCTTATCTTTGTGTCAGGTTGACATATCTTAACATATGTTTTGTTTTGTTTTGTTTTGTTTTTTTCCCAGTTGGCTCTCTCCAAAAATAACTTTTGCTATGGTCATTTCTTACTTTGCTTAAAATAATTTGTGTTTTTCTCCGTTGTACTTGCCTTCAGAATAATACATTCTAAATGATATGGCTGTTTGTCTTTTTGTCTGTTTTGTCTGCTTTCTTAATTTCTTATAAGTCATAAGTTTTTAGGCCAGATGATTGTCTTTCCTCATCCGTTGTCTGTCATTGTGCTATTTTTCTTATTTTTCAGATGCAGAGGCAACCCAGAGATTTCAAAAAATTTCCAGGGTACACCTGGACAGTGTCCCCCTTCGATGGACACAACTGATGCCTGTTCTCTCTTTCCAAGGAATGTGAATAATTTGACTGTGGGACCTGCTCTAGGTTGTGGTCTCAAGAAATCAGATTTTGGGGAGACTCCCTTCCTTCATGGCTGGCCTCCTGTAAGGCTGATGCTGATTTAGCCAGAGATGGTTTCAAGGCCCACCAAATTGAGCACAACTTCCCAGTGGGGACTTTGGCTCTTGATCTTAAGTTTGTGGGTCACTTGTGGCCAAGAAAACCCCATCAGATCAGTGCTTCAACATCCCAGTTGAAGTGTAGTCATTTTGACTGCTGCCTTTTAATCTTCATCTAGCATGATTGCAGTCCAAGGAATACAAAAGCTCTCTGGTTGTTAGGAAACTATGGTTATTTTCATGTCCTTGGAACAACAGGTCTCTAAAATTATGTTCAAAATTGCAGTTATTTTTCTATCATTTAAAATATATTACCCAGTACTAATATTATAGTTTTTCAGGAATACCAATTCTCAAGTTTTTGAATTTTAAAAAATTTAATTTTGGTAACTTGGTTTTATGTTTTCCAAACTTACTGATGTCTATTTTATAATGTCTATTTTTATATTCTTTTCTTTAAAACTGTTAATTAGTTTTTGCTTTGTTTTGTTAAGAACTCCAAGAGATTCCCTGGAATTCTCTGTAGATTCCCTTATAGCTGCCTATTTATAGCTTTTTATTTTGGCTATTGTTCAGACCACAGACATTATTAAATCTTCTGTCGTACTTTGGGATTTTATTATGGTTAATATTATCTTTATAATTGTGAATTCTGAAGTGTAAAGAATTAGCAAAACCTCTTTGCATACCTTAAAACAAGTTTTAAAGTTACATATTTGTACATTCAATACATAATATCCACTTTACCATTAATGTAGTCTCTTTGGGTAAAGGTAACAGCAAAAATTATGGGGGCCAATAATGCAGGTGTTTATATTTTATATATATATATCCCATGCATTATGTATATTTTAAGAATTTGACTTTTGTTTATTTTAGTTACATTAAATATCGATCTACTAAAGAGTTTTGATGCTATTAATTTCTCTTAATAAAAAATTGTATTGTTTAAGTGCCTCAGGAATTATTTACTAATAAAGAGTTCATATGAAAGCTATAGATTTATCATATAAATAGGAGCATTGCTTTAATTATTTAATGGAGGCCTTATTACTATTTGGCCTGTAACTGAAAGCTATATCTACTTAATGCACCTTGCATTTTTTCCTCCAGGACAATTGAAAGGTCATTCATTATACCATACCAGTTTCTTGAATCTTAAAGACAAGCAAAATGCCTTTTGTAATCTTACCTGCTATGAGGACAGACAAGCTCTGAAAGTATGACTCAATTATGTTTTTTACTCTAAAATTAGAACTTCTTTAATTTTACTTTGAAAGAAATTTAAAGCCAACTTAGATGACTGCATATTATGTAATCTCCTTGTAAATATTAATCAAAAAAAGCTGATCTATTAGTGTTAAATTTTTTTAACTAGTACAGTAAATGAATGATTTTCCAAAAGCTCCCAAAGAGACTTGTTTCTTAGTAAATAGACCTTGTGATATTCTAGTCTTTATTTCCTTATCTGTCCCAGGAAGTTTTGTCATTTCACCCTCTTTCTACCCAATTTAAAAAAGTATTTTAAAATACTGTTCACAAACAACAACTTCTTTCCATTTTTAACAGAAATCCTTTTTTTGTTTATAAATACTTACTCTCGGACAGCCCAGGTGGCTCAGCGGTTTAGCACTGCCTTCAGCCCAGGGCGTGATCCTGGAGACCCAGGATTGAGTCCCACATCAGGCTCCCTGCATGGAGCCTGCTTCTCCCTCTGCCTGTGTCTCTGCCTCTCTTTCTCTCTCTCTCTGTGTCTCTCATGAATAAATAAATAAAATCTTTAAAAAATAAATAAATACTTACTCTCCCTTGGTTAAAACTCAAAAATTTGTTAAACTTTATTCTTGATATAACAATGTAGGAGTACTGCTTTGTGTTTTTTCCTAGGACTCTCTCTTATAGTATTATCAAGTTCATTTTCTTAAATTTTAAACTCTCAAAGTTTTATCACATATAACTTCCTTTTTAAGAAGGTGGCTTAAATAAAACACTTAAGGTAGTTGGTATAAAATTTGCTTATTAAAGGCAGTTGGTTGAATTTTAGTTTGGTGCTGATGTGTTTTAACTTGGGTCTGATCCCTCCTTACTGTCAAGTTTATTCGCCTGATCAGAAATGGTCATTTCATGCATGTGTGTTTTTGGTAACCACCAAATAAAAAGTGAGGTTGGTTTGAATCCATCACCATTCTTTAAAAAAAAAAAAAAAAAAAAAGACTCCTAAACTACAGAGACTTAGGATTTTTACCATATTTTTGTCACATTTTGGTAAAATACCTTGCTGCTTTGGGCCTCATGTATTTATTCAGTGATTTCTTGAACATCTACTCTGCCTAGCACCATTCTAGGTGCTAAAAAAATGGATTGATATCTCTGCCCTCTTTGAGCTCATGTTTTATATAGTGCTGAAAGACAATAAAAAGTAAATAAAACATACAGTATGTTAGATTGCAGTCAATACTATAGAGAAAAATAAAGTAGGGAAAGGGGATAAGGAGAACAGGGTAGGAGTTGGGAGGCTCCCATTTAAAACTTGGTTGTCAGAGAAGGCCTCACTGAGACATGACGTTTGAGTAAAGACCTGAAGGAAGAATTGTAAGGAGACTGGACTGGCTGCAAATGAGTGAGCAAGAGGGACTAGTAAGAGATGGGGCCTGCAAGGTAATGTGAGCCATGTATGAATTTGGCTTTTACTCTGAGATAAGCCATTCATTAGGGGATTTTGAATAGTGGAATCTTGTCCACCTCAGTAAAAAATACAATCAACAAAAACCTTAAATACAGAAGAGTGCTTATATTACTCTAGCCCCTGCCTCAAGAATAAATTACAGAAGATTAAGGGCAAAATCAGGGAGATTAGTTGAGGGGCTATATAATCTGGTGGGAGATGGCAGGGAATTAGGCTAGTCAACTAGCAGTGTGGGTGGTGAGAGGTTTGATTTTGGATATATTTTGAATTTATTAATAGTTTGTGAAATAAGAGAAAATGTTGAGGATGACATAGTTATTAATCTGAGCAACTGGGAAGATGGCAGTGATATTAATTGAGATGAGGAAGACTAGGAAGAATAAATTGGGAAGATGAAGATTTTGGCTTGGGGCATGTTTTAGTTTGAGATGCCTGTTAGAAATCCAAATGGAGATGCCATAGTTACTCATTTGTGTAAAGTTAGGGGTATGTTCTAGGCTGTAAATGTCACTGAACATTTTAAAATGTCATGGGAATGAATACAAGTAAAACCGGAGAAATGTAAATAAAATTCGTATATTATATCACTGTCAATATCTTGGTTATGATTTTGTACTATAATTTTGTAAGATGTTATCATTGGGGGAAACTGGACTTCATGGAGTCTATATTATTTCTTACAACTACATGTGAATATAAAAATGTCCCAATATAAAAGTTAAATTAAAAAATCATAGGACTGTGTGAGATTACCAAGGAACACAGTAGAAATAGAGAAAAGGTAAGGTCCAGAGATTGAGCTCTGGGGAATCTGACAATAAAGGGTTAGGAAGATGAAAAAGTACCAGGAGAGGAAACTAAGTGGGAGTAGCCAATGATATAAAAGGAAGACCAGGGGAGTGGTGGTGTCCTTGGAGTCTTGGTTACCCTTTTTGTAAAATATGAGTGCAGACATGCTGTAGAATTCTGGGATTCTTTATCCAGTATTGATTATACCTACATGTTAAAATTTGTTCTTAGAAGATCAGATACAGAATGCCACACATATCCTTATCTTTGGTAGCAGAAACTTTTGATCTTAAGAAAACTAAATGTCCACATTACTCCTCAGCACCTTTAACTCCCTACATATACTCTCATAAAAGTAATTCTCTTATATTTTCCCAGAAAAAAGTAACTAGATCATTGTTTCCCAAAACCTGAATTGTGGAACTAGTGTGTCCATAATTTGTAAACTATCTTCAGGGGAAATTTTCCATGGTCAAATAAGTTTAGGAAATGCAAATTAAAATTAGGTAGATTCTTTAATATAGGATTTTTCCTGCTAGATGTGGCCTGTGTCTCAAGAATATTTATTTGGAATTTTTTTCCTTCAATATTTATTAACTTTCTGACATTAATCTCCATACAATAAACATGTAGAATGCTGAACTAGAGGAATCATTCTTCGGATTCTCTGAATTGGGGGCAAAAAGTAGTCGTGTAAGAC